CGGGCCTAGTTGCTCTGCGGCATGTGGGATCTTCCCAGAGCAGGGCTCGAACCCGTGTCCCCTGCACTGGCAGGCAGATTCTCAACCACTGCGCCACCAGGGAAGCCCCCCTGTCCTTGTTTTTAAATGGAAGTTCCCACATCCCAGGAAACCCTCAGTCCCCTGCAAATCGGGGTGGTTGGTCATCCTAGTTGTCAGGCACTAGCGACAGGTGACCAGGTGAGACTGGGGCACTGCCAAGTGTCCTCACGCTTCTGGACTGCAGGCAGGGGAAAGGGCGTGGCTCAGCTGACCTGACACCCCGGCAAACAACCCCATCCTTGAATGTTCCAGGAGCTTTAAGTCAACATTCTCCCTATTCCTGAAAATACAAGAAAACACTGTGCTGTAGGGGCAGTCGGGCCATAATCCTGCCGTAACAGGCCCTCCGTCCAAAGGTCTAGACGCTGACACCAGTTACAGAAGCACTTTGTTCTCCAGGCCAGCGGCCACACTGAATGTGGACCACAGGCACACAAGTTCACTGGCCATGGAAGGAAACTGCATACCCTGTTCTTGTCCAAGGTACTTAAAAATGTTTAGAAGGGAATGGAAGTTAGGAGCATGCCTTGATCCAAATCTTGGCTCTGTTTCTTTCTGGCTGTTTAAGTTAGTGTCTCTGTGCCTCAGTTTCCCCATCTGTGAGATGGGATAATAGCACGTTTGTACCTCAGAATGGTGCTATTACAATCTCCACCCACGGTAGACACTCCAAGACCGTAAATTAGTGTCTAGCATCTTCCTCGGTCTGTCTGCTCTTTGCCTGTCATTTCCCGACAGACTTTCCACTCACATCAAACTATTCTCTAAACACTCACTGTAGTGGGTTGAATAGCATCCCCCCAAATCCATGCCCACCCGGAGCCACGGGATGTGACCTTATTTATTTCATTTTATTTTTTAAATATGGACCACTTCACGAATTTGCGTGTCATCCTTGCGCAGGGGCCATACTAATCTTCTCTGTATCGTTCCAATTTTTAGTATTTGTGCTGCCAAAGTGAGCACGTGACCTTATTTTGGAAAATGCACCTTTGCAGATGTCATTAGCTATGATGCTGTCACAGTGGACGAGGGTGGGCCCTCGTTCCGGGGACTGCTGTCCTCGTAAGGAGACACAGGGAAGAAGGACGGAGGCAGAGATGGGGCTGAGGCTGCAACAGCTGAGGAGCTCGAAGGGACTGCGTTGGCCGGCAGAGTGGGGACTCTCCCCAGAGCCGCTGGAGGGAGCTCGGCCCTGCTGGCATCTCGCTGTCTGGCTTCCAGGCTCCAGAACCGTGAGAGGATGAAGTTCTGTTGTTGAAGCCCGTGTCTGGGGGCTCCATGAAGGTGGCTCAGCTCTCTCCCTGCTTGACCTGCCCGTCAGCCCCTCGCAGAGCTGTGGGCACCCCCGGCTCAGATAGCACCTTCACCTGGCCTTCCTGAGTCCCTGCGCCCAGGAAGGACCTCCCTGTGAATCCCAGCAGCACCTCCAGCCTCCCACACCCACCTGGCACACACCTCGGATGTGTGACTTTAAATGTACCTGGTTCCATCTGTTCATGTGCTGAAAGCCCTGCAGAGAGAAACCCCCTGGCACGGGGAAGCCTCATTTCCTGGGGATGATTTAACAACTCTGGCTTTATGAGGAAGGGGACTGTGCAGAAGGTCCGGGGGAGAGATGGCTCTGGGCGGTGGACCTCGTGGACCAGCCACAGGTCTGTGCTCCCTCCCGGTTACCACGAAGCCAGGTGGGGTGGAGCAAAAGAGCCTGGCACAGATAGCGGTTCTTTATCAAGCAGGAGGCAACCAAGGACCCAAGGCTTCTCTGGAGGACCAGCAGATCACAGACACAGGTCAGATTCCCTCCCGCAAGTAATTAGAGCTGACCGGCAGGCAATGAAAACTTTCAGCAGAAGAGTGGCACACAGTGGAAGCTGGTGTCCAGGAGGGGCTTGAAGCTTCCTAACTAACCTTGGCAAGGTCTCCTATTAAAGCAAAATCAGTGAAGCCAGAGTGGGCTTACATCATGGCATCTCTACGTGGGATTTACCTGGAGGATCTCAGGTCCCGCCTGGCTCTGTCCTCTTTCCAGTTTTGCTCTAAATGACCCAACACTTTCTTATTCAGGAATATCTGAGAACAGGTAGTTGAGTGCTTATTTAATCACCTGTGTTTATAGAAAAACACGTTCGCCAGGTTTGTGTGCCTCTAAGGTCCTCGTGGAGAATCGTGTGTACTCTTTTGTCCTGCGAGCAACGTTTAAGAGGAAGCTACTGCGGAAGGACAAACCGAACTTGGAAAGGGGCAGAAGGTTGCCAGCACATGATGCTTTGCACGTACGACGCATGAGGAGAGAGGTGACGGATTAGGGGAAGTCAGGTAGAGCTCCTTCTGGGGTGGGCAGCCAACCGCCCAGTCGCCCGATGCCCGTGGAACGCCTCGGTGCTGTTTTCTCATCGCAGCTCTCACAGCGCTCACAGAAGCGGGGACAGCAAGGCCCGGCCGCTTTTCAGATGGCGCTTCCAGAACTCAGCAGGAGAAACGTGGCGGGCAGAGCTAAATGCCCACCCTCGGGCCTGGCCGCCCGGGGCCCCATGCTCACCGCTGTGATTCTGCTCATGGCCGGTTCAAGTGAAAATACTGTTTCTGACACCTCGGGCCCACAGCGCACTGGACGCAAAGCCATGGCTTTGCCGTCAAGGAGCATCCAGGCCTCCGTGTAGCCCCAGAGTCCGGCCGCCCTAAAAGGCCAACCTGCAGAGCAAGGCTGGGACGCACTCCCCGCGCCGTTACCTTCTCTTAACTGGCTCAACTCGGCCCTCAGAGCCACCCTTCGCCCTCCTGCCTCTCCAGCTTCTCTGTCCAGCCGGCCCTGCCTCCAAACACCCCCAAGGGCCGCCCCCTCTACGTGTCCAGCTGGTCCCCTGCCCTGCTGCCATCATCCTGCCTGGACTGCTGCATGAGTATCCCCACTGCCCCGTCCCACTCTGTTTTTACACCACAGCCAGAGCAAGTCTTTTGCAAGGTAAGTCAGACGTGGTGAGAAGCTCCTGTGGTCCCCCCGCATCAGCCGGGACCCATCCCTCTGCGCGGCCTTGGGGGCCGTCCCACCTGCCCCTGCCCCGCCCCCTGCCCTGCCCCCGGCCCTCTGCCTGCTCGGGCCCCACTGCACACAGGTGCCACTGCCGGAGATTCTGCACTTGCTGGTCCCTCTACCTAGAAAGCTCTTCCCTCAATCATCTCCACACACCTGGTTCCTCTGACTCAGAGTTCAGCCCAGAGGTCACATTCTCAAAGGGGCTCTAGTGACCACGCAGCCAGGGCAGCCCCGCCCACTTGGTACCTCTAATAGGGCCCTTGGTTTTATGATCTTCCTGATGTTTCCTTTCTGGTTGGTTTGCTTTCTTGCTCCTTGTCTGCCTCCCACTACAAGGGGGGCCCCCGAGAGCAGCGGCCTTCTCTGTCCCCCATGGTCCAGGGCCCGGCACACAGTAGGTGCTTTATAAGCAGCTATTAAATCAATGAATGGACGTGCCCCTGGTTTTGGCCAGCTCTGTGGCCATGGAAACAGGATGGTCCCGAAGTAACTTCTTTCCTCTCCAACTCCCCGACTGCAGACCCAGGGGGCACCACCTGCTCCGCGACCCCCCGCCGCCCCACCTCCCTGCACTGCTCTCTCCTGGAGCCCCTGCAGCGGCCCAGGCCTCTCCCACAGCGTGTGGACTGAGCCACACACTCCCTGGTGTCATCACATTTCCTTTCCATGTGTACTTATTAATTTTCAGCCCTTAGTGACTCTTAAGCACATCTGTATGTTCACTCAAGTAAATGAATCAATTAGATAAAAACACCATCTTGGCACAAAGCTTTCCTTCCTGGGTGAGGTGATGTTTCTAAAATGTAGTGTGTACAAAGCTGGGAGGCTCCAACCAACCGGCGAGCTTTGGAGATTGAACCAGGAGGGGAGGCCTGAAAGGCCACTGCTGGGCAGCAGGGCTGCTTTGCGGGGACTAGAAACAGGCGCCTCCCGCAGGGGGTCCCGCGATTAACAAAACCTACCCCAAATCAGTTGGCTCCCCGTCCGTATTCAGTTTCCCCCCATTGCCTCAAAAATGTCATCGAAAAGTTTATTTGCTCATTTAGGATCAAGACAAGACCCGCCCGCTGCATTCGCTGGATATTTCTGGTCTGTCTTTGAAATTCTATAATAGTTTCCGCCCAGAAGGGCTTGAAGGCTTCAAAAGGTTTGGTGCCCGGCACACGGACACCCTTCCGCCCTCCTTTCTGTCCGAGCTCCAGGAAGCCAAATCCTCCTTCCCAGCAGACAGACTGCGGAGGGAAAGGGAAAAGGAGGCTGGGCGCGGTCACGAGCTCAGAAGGTTTTCAGGCTCCCGACAGGGCTGTGACCCGACACAGCCCAACCTGTGCGGGGAGGGGTGTCAGCGAGACCCACGGTGCCTTGACGGTGTGTCGTGACTTTGAGCTTGAAGCTCGTGATAACATCTGCAATTCTCCGTAGAAGGAGGGCAGGTCAGGGCTCACACAGGGTGTGGTTTCCTGACGCAGGGAAGTGGCTCCTGAGGGGGGCTGATGGGCTCCTGTCGTGAAATCCTCTCCAGGGGGCCTGCCTGCCAGTTTACGGACCAGACGGTGGAGCTCTGAACGCGTCCTGCAGAGCAGCGAGCGGTGGCGGCCACGCTGTGCTCAGCACCGCCCTCCGGGTGAGGACAGGACAGATTTGGGATTTATTATTAAGGGAGCCTAGTCTTCCTCTGGTCTGGGAACTAGTTAGTCCTCCTCTGTTCTGGGAACTAGTCCTCCTCGGGTCTGGAAGCTGGGAGGGGCTGTGGGGAGGCCGCATCCATCCCCAGTGTGACCCAGCACCGTCCCCTCCGTGTCCCCTCTGCCAGCTCCCGTCCAGGTCCCAGAAGCTGGTAGGCGGGAAGGATGCAGGGCCACAGATCCGGCCAAGACCCCACCTTGAAGAGCTGGACCCCGATGCAGGCGAACATGAACTGGAGCAGCGTGGTGACGATCACGATGTTCCCGATGGTGCGGATGGCCACGAACACGCACTGCACCACGTGCTGCGGGTGGACAGAGGGGGCGGGTCCGGGGCCTTGGCTGAGCCCCTTTGGCACGAGCCTCTCAGAGGAGGTGCGGGCAGCCCTTTGCCACGAGCGGGGGGACCAGACTCAAAGGGGCAAAGCGAGCGTCCTCCTAGGTCACGGGGTGATGGAGCCTGGTGAAACCCGCGTCCCACTGGGCTCTAGGAGACCACAGGGACCAAAGCCCCGCTGACCTCCCACGTTCTGGGGGCAGCAATTCAGGGGTCTCATCACTACCTGGGGCTCGGGGTAGTGTGTGTGTCTCCTTTAGCAAAAGCTCTGCTGAGAAGCTGGGATTGTGAACGGGGGCCTCTGCTGTGGCTCCGTGTATCACGGACCCGGGATGGGAAGTGGGGCTGAGGTGCTGGCAGGAGGGTCCCAGCTCCGACCCAGGAGCCTGACTGTTGGCCGTCTCCCGCCTGCCCGTCACCTCACGTGGACCCCCAGGCTGAGGCTCCCGCCCAGGCCCGCCCAACTCACCTTCAGCCCCTTGGCCCTGTTGATGGCCCTCAGGGGCCTCAGCACCCTCAGGACCCGCAAGATCTTCACCACGTTGATGGCACTGGACCTGGGAGAGAGGACGGGCGGGGGTGAGCCTCTCCTGCCCCTGGTCCAGCAGCAGTGGAGGGTGAGCCGCTTCCTGGCAGGAAGTCCCAGCCCAAATGGAGAAACTGGGGAGTCTGCTGGGGACTTTCTCGCCCCAGCACCATTTCCCATTCTCTTCTCCCACCGCAGGGACCCAGAGCTGGCCGGGGACTTTCTTGTTGGTGAGCAAATCATGGGAAAAGCATTTACCATGAGCCACTAGCAGTATAACGTACTACTCGGGGGGTGTTTACTGTGCCGAGGACACGCAGAGCAAGGCAAAGCTCCGCCAGACCCCGGCCACTGAGGATACACTTCCTAACTTTGTTGGGCCCTCGCTTCTTCATCTGTAAAACGGGGCAGCGACCACCTCACGAGCTTGTTGCAAGGATTAAATGAGAAAACGCACACGAACCATCTAGCAGCCTAACTGGCACATGCTGTGATGTGAGTACGTGGTGGCTTCTATTATCATGAACTTGAAGGAATACTGTACGAATGGTGGGACTTTGGGTGGAGGAGATACCTGGTGCTCACCTGCAAACCCAAGTCCCAGCGGCTGCCCATCGCGCTCACCCTGTGCACAGCACACCCAGGCCTAGAGGCAACGGCTCGGACACCGCAGACTCCGTGCACCTGGGACGCCAGGGCCCAGCCGGCTCCCCTGGGAGCACAGGTCACTGCTGCCCTCCAGGGGCGCGCAGGCCCCTCACCCCGGCGGGCTGGCGGGCTCTCTGAAGCGTCCCTCACCCTCACCCACTAGCCGCCTTGGGAGAGCCTATACGCTCCTTGGGACCTAAGACACGTGGTCCCGTCAGCAAGCGCTGACCTCCTTCCTCCCGTGTCAGGACGCCGTCCGCTGAGAGTGGGATGGGGGAAAGTCCTATGTCTCTGGTTCACGACTCTCTGATCACAAGGAACTCAAAGGGCTGCCCGATCCATCCCAGCGTCTCAGGGACAATGGGAGGGATGGAAAGGCCAGACTGAGGGGGGAATTCTTGGCTCAAGGTTAAGAGTGATTTAGTGGCAGTGATGGGATTAGACCCACAGGCTCACAGGCAGACAGCCTGGGGTAGAATAACGATGATCCCAGCAAAGGGTCTCACTCTGAATGCCTCCACCTCCGCTCCTTCTAGGCCGACCACGGGGACAGCCTCGGGACGGAGCCCCAGACGCCTCTGCTCTGCCACTGGGGTGACCCGGGCCGAGTCCCAGGTCCTGACCTCAGTTTTTCTGTCTAGAAAACAGTGATAACATCACTGGCCCTGCCTGCCTCATGGGTCCTATGAGGCTCAGAGAGGAATGTGTACGGAAAGTGCTTTGGAAGTTAAGTACAGGGTTAGCATTACCAGCTGGTAGAATTCGGGAGAAACTAGTAATGAGATTCTTTTAAACTTGAGCACGTTCACAGCCTTGGTTGCAGGTGGAATTGTCTGGAGAGCGTTTAAAATCCCTCAGGCCCTGGCTGTAGCCCAGACCAATTAAATCAAAGCTTGGGGGGGTGGGAGGGGTCCAGGCAAAGGTCTTGTTTTAAAGTTGCTCCGGTGATTCCCCTGCACAGCCAGGAGTGAGGACCAGTCCCTCCTCCTTCTCCCTCCCTCATCAGGGGCTCTGACTGGAGACTGGAGAGGAAGGGGCAGGGGTCATCAGGGCTGGCAGGCCTGGGCTGAGGGTGCCCGCGGAGCCGGTGGGAGGGCCCTGGAGACCTTCCTCTTTCGTAACTGGGCCGGGCCCGCCTGCTGGGTGAGATCCAGACATGGAAACGGATCCTCGCTTGGGTCAATGCACCCCAAGGGTCCCACCACTGAGGACCCAGACACCAGAAGCCACAGCCGCCGCCGAAGGCCCGTCCCGCTCCCAGCCTAGTTCCACCGTGGCCACAGGCAGGCCTCCCCGCCACCAGCGGTCGTCTCCCCCCACCCCTGGCTCCCGGCTGTCCTCTCCGACACTGTCCTCCATGCACGCCTCCCTCGGGGGCCAGGGGGCCCCACTCACTGGATGCCGAAGGAGATGAGGGACACGCTGACCACCAGTAGGTCCAGGATGTTGAAGTAGTTCCGGCAGAAGGAGCCCTTGTGCAGGAAGGCCCCGTAGGCGGTCATCTGGGGGGACATGGGGAGGCGCGGCATGAGCAGCCCCCTGGGCTCCAGAGACCCCTCACTCCACCCCTCCCCACACGGTACCTCTGGCCGGGCCCAGGGGAGGAGCAGGGGAGTGACGGGGGCTGGGGGGCAGGACAGGAGACACGGTGCCGGGAGCTTCTGCTGCTGCTGCAGCCCCTGAAGGCTCCCTGCCCAGGACTGTCAGCGGCCCTCGCGCCCCTGTACGCTCAGGTCCCCCACACCCCCCGCCACAAGCTCGCTCCACCGCAGGGCCCGCCTAGGACACGGTCCTCCGGGGGGACCCCCGGTGGGGACCAGCCACCCTGGCTTCCCAGGACTTTCCTGGCTTAGTCCCAGGCAATCCCTCAGTCTCGGGCAGACCCTAACGCCCGAAGTTCTACCAAGGACGCTGGCAACCCGCATCTGTCCACTTCCCAGCCTCAGGCAGTGCTGATGACCCATGCCTAGTACTCTGAGCTCCATTCTACTGTCTGGTTCTGGAGCCGTGTGTTCAGAGGGGCCGTGGGCACCACAGTAGGAGCACAGCTCTGGAGCCAGGCCACCCTCTGTACTTTGAGTGCCCGGGGCAAGTTACTCAACTTCTCTGAGTCTCATCTGAGAAATGGGGCAACGACATCCTCTACCCTGGAGGGTGGTAAGCGCCCTCGGGAATTACATGCAAAGCCCTTAGGTCACTGTCCTGCAGATGGCAAGCTCCATGCCAGGCGAGCTTCTCTACAGAGAACTGGACTCGGCCGGAGAGCTAGGACTTGGCTTCTGGGTCCCTCCTGTGATGGGGGAGAATGTTCAGTGCCCCCTCTGTAAAGTAGCATCCCCTTCCCTGCCGTTGTGAGGCGCCTGCTGGAGAACCACGTGAAAGCCCCCTGGAGACTAAGAAGGGACCACGTCAGGGGTGATGGCTGTCTCGGGTTTGCTGTCACCACCCCCCTCGGAGCTCAGCCTAGAGCCGCTGTTGAGGCCCCACAAACACCTGTCCGATTTCCTTGACGTGAGCTAAGGGCCAGTGGATTTCCAGGTGAAGGGCTGAAGGGTCACAGCCGTGAAGCGATAGCCAAAGGGGGAAATTTGGAGCTGACGGCTTAGAGCTTGGAAGCAGCTCCCTGGTCACCTGGGGCCCAATCTATCTCTTTGGAAACAGAGCGTACGCAAGGCAGCCTGTCCGCGGAGCGATTCAAAAGCAAACACAGGGGAAATTGACAAAAATAGCTCTTGGAACCTAATTTTTCCCACTTATCTCCTGCAGGAGGGGGTCACAGGGGACTCAGGCACCTGTGTCCTGCAGGAGCTTCCAGAAGTGGGTGGATTATGTGAAGGGTTGCAGGGGAATACAGTTGGAGATCTGTCCCAAAGGCCTGCCATCTGGAGGGGCTGCTTGCTGCTCTGTCTCTTAGTGGAGGTCTGGGCCCCCGAGTGCGGGCCCGGGTGCTTCCATGGTTTGTGTTACCTGAGAGGCCCTGTGCCCCGAAGGCTGGCGAGTGTGTGTGTGTGTGTGTGTGTGTGTGTGTGTGTTCAGGCTGTCCGCCCAGGCAGGGCCAGAGGAAGGGTGGCCATAGGAGAAAGGGCAGGTGGACGCTGGGAAAACGGGGCATTTATTTGAAAGTTCCCTGTGAGATCCAGGGAGTCAGGTACCCAGTGCAGGACCCCCCTTTTACCCTGTCTGCTGACTGCCACCCACCCCGCTTCTGCTCCTAAAGTCCTAACCTTTGCCCAGGAAGAGCCTCGCTGGGGAGAGGAAAGGGTTGAACGCTGGGCTGGGAGGGCAGGACGCCCTTCCGTCCAGCCAGCTCCGCTCCGGGCAGCAATGCTGCTCACTGAACGCATCTTACCTTCTGCAATCTCTACTCGCGGATTCTGGTCCCACCTCCCTCCTCCTCTAGGTGACAGCCCTTGGCAACATTCAGGCCAACTGTTCTGGTCCCACAAGGCTAAACGTGCCCAGGCCTTCCAACTGTCCCTGACACTGGACACCCCTCCTGCACGACGGTCACCTCCGCCGGGCAGGATGCCGGGCCCAAGGGCGGGGCAGAGGGACCCGGGGGACCGGGTGCAGGCAGTGTCCTGGGGCCGGGCTCCACCTAGAGGCACAGTCAGGCAGCGTAGAAGCGGGAAGCAGAGGGAGAGGGTGGGCGGGAGAGAGGATCTCGCCAGCACCGTGCTTGTAAGGAGATGGCAGCCTTGGAGGAAAAGGAGCGCCGCTGAGGCCCACCCAGGAGCTGGGGGGAGGGTCTGAGACCGGGAAAGAGTGTGGCGTTTGTGTGCCTCCCTGAGTCTGGAGTCCAGGGAAGGGCGTCCACGCAGCCGGGCGGCCCCGGTTCCCTCTCCCCAACCCCGGGGTCAGAGAGAAAACCCGAGGAACACTCCTGGTTTCCTCTTGGTTAACGTCTGGTTAGCTGGAACCAGGGGGTCTGGACAAAAAAAAAGAAGGCATGCGAAAGTGACCACTCAGGTTGTATGTGGATGTGACAGGCCGTCCTCGCCTGAAGGAGGCCGGGAGGGAGGGTCTGGGGCTGCCACACGTGCAGGGTGGGAGGAGCCCGGACCCTGCGGAGGCACCGAGTGGGGCGGCCATGGTGAGGGTGACCCCCAGGCTCTGGGAGAGAACGGGAGTCGCACACACTCCATCGACTCGGAACTCACCCCCGAAGCTCGGGTGGCCTGGGAAACTTGAAAACCCTAACAGAGTAGATGTAAGTACTATATTAATTGTATATTAATAGAAATAACGAAATAAAGCTTAGGGCAAATGCCTGTCACCCGAAGCTGCTCAGACGTGGGCTCTACTGTGCTGGGGTCACAGGGCTGGAGCGGGTCCGGGCCTGGGGGTCCAGCCCCTCAGCCCTGGGCTCTGGGTTCCACACTGAGCCCTGGAGGACATGGCTCCCTCCTCCAGGCCCGGGGCAAGGGGTGAGGCAGCAGAGCCTTGGGGGTAACCCAGGGCTCAGAGGTGTCTACAGGGTCTGTCCAAAGCCCTCGGTTGGGACACTGGCCTTGGCCGCGTGATTACCACCACACAGGCCTCCCGAGGGCACAGGCAGGGTGACTCCTGGAGGCCCCTGAGCTTTCCCGCTTTTGTTGTTTGTATGGCATCTCCTCTGGGCAGGAGGAGGAAAGGACGGTTCCAGCCCGGGGCAGGCGTGGTTTCCAGAGGCGGTGGGGCGGGTGGTGCCCGGCCAGCATCAGTCCGACACTGTGCACAAGGCACAAAGTGAGGGGCACAAATTCCTCCAGTTTCAGACTTGAGAGTAAAAACGAGTGAAAGAAACAAGAGAAAAGGGGCAGAGCACAGAGAGAGGAGGCTTTGCTGCGTGCGTTACCTTGAGGATAATTTCTAACGTAAAGATACTAGTGAAGACATAGTCTGCGTTGCCTAGGATCTGAAAGATAAGCATAACCAGATTAGTGGCTCCGAGTGACCGGACAACAGAGCGTGTGTTAGCAGCAGAGCAGCGACAGCCGGACAGGACAGGACAGGGCAGGAGCAGGGGGCATGCATTACCTTCAGAGCAATTTCAATGGTGAAAATGGTAGTGAAAACAATGTCAAAATAAAACAGAATCTGTAAAACAAAGAGACACAGGGTGGGGATGGGGCAGGGATGGGAGAAGCAGGACGGGAGGAGGGGTCACCAGCAGGAAGTCACCCAAAGCAGGGAGCCTTTCCGTGGGGAGACAGTGGAACGGGTTAGGGGACCAGAGGCACTGGCACAGCACTGGGTCCTGGAGTCCCCAGATCTGTGAGGGGAGCTTCCAGGGCTGACTCAGCTGGCCCTGGGTCTGGCTGGGTGCTTTTCTCATGAATTCAGTTTACTTACAAATCCAAATCAGACCGCTGGGACGCTTGTCAAAAGGACAGCGTGGGGTTTGCTTTTCACTGCATGAAACTGCAAAATGCTTAATTCGCATTGGCGTGACGAGCTAGTCTCTCATGTTCGTGGGACCCTACGCCGCTGCTGTGCCCTTCAGGGTGCGGAAGGGTGCACCCCAGGCTAGGGGCAGGCTCCGGGGTTCATGCTTTTACTACGTCTCAGGTGATGGATCAGAGCGAGGGCCAGCGCCTTTCCCAGTAAGAAAGCTCTGGACCACGCAGGCGGCGGGACCACCGGCTGGCTTGGCAGGTGGTGGGCTCCTCCCTGCGTGCCCACCTGGTTGGGATTTGATAAAGTTTCGAGGCTTCGAGATATGGCACGTCTTACTCCGGCCTATGATGTAGGTCACCAGAGCCTGGGGTGGTCTTCAAATTTAGTTTCGACTTTGCAGAGGGTCACTGAGGCCCTCCTATACGAGGCAGGCCTCATCAGAGCACCCGTCTGCCACTGCCCCCCGGTGGCCAGGACGGGCCAGTGTACCTTGGGGCAAGGTATAAACCGCTCAGTTCCAGGGAGGTGGACCCCCGGGGAACACCCGCGGGCCGTGGAGTCTGCTGTGGCCCGTCAGGCTGGCCTGAGGCGCTGGGTCCGTGGTCTCCTCCTGCTAACGGTCCTAAGACGGGTTTCCACCCAGCTCTCATCTCTTGAGGAAATGCCTGCTGTGCCTCTGACCCTAAGATGTGGGCTGGGCTCTGGACTGAACGATGGGGTTGGGCAGCCACAGAAGCTGGGGGCCACGTGGCGGGGGCGGGGTGCAGGGGACGAGGTACCTACGTGGTTCCTGAAGGAGGTGTGCTGGACGGGGTCCTCGGCAGCCAGGGAGATGCTGCTGAGCAGGATGAAGAAGAGGATCAGGTTGGTGAAGATGGAGTCGTTGACGATGCGATGGCACTGGAGGCGGAACCTGCGGGGAGTGGGAGGGGCCGTCACACAGGGCCGGGGCCTCCGCTCCTTCAGCCCCGCGACGTCCCGCTGCAGCGGAGCAATAGTGCCACCGCCCGCCACACCGTGTGCCCACCCACGGGGCCTCGGGTTTGCGCCTGAGACCTTTGGGAACCCCTACATTTCACATACTGCTGTGACATCACCCACCGGCTTTCGTTTGGGGACGTCTTTCCCATCATTAAAAATAACGGCTTTGTAAGATCTGCTTCATATGTTTATGTACAGGGAGCAACAGAGCCACCCAGAAGCGTGGGCGCCCAGACTCCGAGGGGACTTGCTCCCGTGGTAGTAAGTCAATCCCGCACCTCGGCACAATGACAAAGAACGACACATCTGACCCCCGAGCGCTCACGGTAGATCCTCGGACGCTGGGGGTGTCATTTATACTGTCTCATCTTGACAGTAGGAGGGGAGGAGGGTGTGATTATCATCTTCATTTTATAGATAAAAACCACTGACACCAGGAAGGATAGGCTTGCCCAGACACAGTGTGTGTGTGTATGTGTGTGTGTGTGTGTGTGTGTGTGTGTGTGTGTGTGTGGCCAGGGCTTGAACCTGGCCGTCAGGCTTCTGCTCCTGGCGTGTGGTTGACTAAGTGCTCTGAGAGACCTTACTGCTGCAGAAGCACCAAATTCTGGAAAGGGCAAGTTTTTTGAGACAATTCTGGTTTCACGAGAGTTAGGAAGGGTCTGCAGCGATCCTCCCCAAACAAACAAGCCAATCCACTGAGCTGGGGTCTGTGTGACATGCAGCCGGGATGGGCAGAGGCGCCTGACGAGGCCAGTGGCAGCACAGCTGTCAGGAAACTTCGAGCCAGTCGGAGGTGGGGCAGAGGGGCCCGGGACCCCTAGGCAGAGCCAATGCCCTCAAGGAGCATCTGGAAGAAAGCTTCCAAGTCCTAACTTAGGTCCATGGGAATCTTGCTGATTAAGACGAAGTATTGGGGTCACAATCAAAGATCATTAAACACTCAAGAACATAGCCACTGAGATGGGAATCAAAGAAACTACAAATAATTGACTTACACGGCCCCTCCCCAAAGACTGTGTATATTGGAAACATCAGATACACATTATAGAACAGCTATATTTGAAATGTTTAATGGAATAAAGGACTTGATCACAAAGATGATGAATCAACAAGAAACTCAGACATAGACAGATGGAGCTGGAAAACCAAGCAAGACCTGGAACTGTCTGAAGTGAAAAGATATAAGCTGATGTGAAAACTGGTTTACACAGTAACATAGAGATGAAGAGAGAATTGAGAAATTGGAAGACACATCTGAAGAAATGAGCCAGAATTCCAACCGAGAGACTAGGAGATGAATGATATGAAGATGTGAATGTGTGAGCTGGGAAGGACAGAATGGGAAGGTATAACTTGTGTCTACTTGGACCAGCTGGAGAGAAGGAAGATGAGGCAGTTGTAAAGAGACTATGCTTCAACTTTCCAAGAAGTAGCTATTCTTCTCCTAATCTTTAATGTCGTTCAAGAACTGACAAAAATATAAATCCATAGACTTAGAAACAGAACATATTCCGAGCAGGATAAATGGAAAGAAATCCATGGTGGTAAAAGTGCGCAACCCCAGAGACAGTGGATGATGTTAAGAGCCGCTGGAGACAAGGGGCAGATTCTGACTAAGGAACAATCGTAGGAATTCCGACTTCACAGTGGAATAACACATCCAGCACGCTGAAGGCTAAAACCCGTCAACCTGAAAGTGTGTACACAGCCAAGCTACCTTTCAAGAACAAGAAATGCAAAGGATTACAGATAAACAGAGGCCAAGTGAATTTTCCATAAAAGAACTCCTGAGGAATGTACTTTAAGGAGGAAAGAAAATGATTGCCGAGGGATGGACTGAGATGCATAAAAAATGGTGAACAGATAAAAAAATAGTAAGTGGTATGTAAATCCAAACATACACTGTCTACACAGGTACTCACGTCTGACCTGTCGTGTGGGAAATAAAGGTCGGGACCAAAATAGTCATCAGCCATACCACGTAAGGTAGGAGGTCTGGGAGGAGTTCGAGCAGTCTAACTATTTTAACTCCTATTTTGCAGGAGAAGGTTTAGGATCTTGTTCAACTTTAGGCTCTGTTAAGTTAAATGTAATCACCAACAGAACAGAAACAGAGTTTACACATTTCACAAAATGGAGAGAAAAGCAAACCCAGGTCTTCTGATTCAGAATCCAGGACTCTCTTCCCTAAATCCGTGCCTGTTTACACAAGCTGCGGGGAGCTGGGAGAGTCCCAGCCCCACCCAGAGGCTGGAGGGCGCTGACACCTGCCGGGCTTGTGTCACAGAGAGAGCGAAGCCCAGTGCACACACCTGTTGCTCGGGCTGAAGATGAAGAAGGCGCTGGCTTCTGGCATGGGCACCGCCTTCTCCTTCAGGTGCAGCTCAGAGAGGGGGCGGGGACGGGGGCCCACGGGCATCTCAGGCTCCTCCTCCTCGTCTCCTGCAAGAAAACAGCACCGCTCTAAACAGCTCCACGGCTCCCGCTTATTTTTTATTTTATTTTATTTTATTTTGCGGTACGCGGGCCTCTCACTGCTGTGGCCTCTCCCATTGCGGAGCACAGGCTCTGGACGCGCAGGCTCAGCGGCTATGGCTCACGGGCCCAGCCGCTCTGCGGCATGTGGGATCCTCCCGGACCAGGGCACGAACCCATGTCCCCTGCATCGGCAGGCGGACTCTCAACCACTGCGCCACGAGGGAAGCCCTCCAGCTTATTTTTACCACCGTGCAGCTTCCTTCCAGATGCCCTACGGACAGGACTCAGACATCATCCACATCTCTGGAAACCAAGGGGACCAGCCAAGACACCCAGCTCTCTCCCGGTGGGCACGGCTGGAGCTCGTCTCTGCTACAGGAAGACTCCCTGGCAGCACACGAGATGGGGCTGAGAGTAGGGTGACCAACTCGAAACCTGTCCTTTTTTTTTTATTTTAAAATTTTATTTATTTATTTATTTTTGGCTGTGTTGGGTCTTCGTTGCTGCGCGCGGGCTTTCTCTAGTTGCGGCGAGTGGGGGCCACTCTTCATCGCGGTGCGCGGGCCTCTCACTGTCGTGGCCTCTCTTGTTGCGGAGCACGGGCTCCAGACGCGCAGGCTCAGTAGTTGTGGCTCACGGGCCTAGTTGCTCTGCGGCATGTGGGATCTTCCCAGAGCAGGGCTCGAACCCGTGTCCCCTGCACTGGCAGGCAGATTCTCAACCACTGCGCCACCAGGGAAGCCCCCCTGTCCTTGTTTTTAAATGGAAGTTCCCACATCCCAGGAAACCCTCAGTCCCCTGCAAATCGGGGTGGTTGGTCATCCTAGTTGTCAGGCACTAGCGACAGGTGACCAGGTGAGACTGGGGCACTGCCAAGTGTCCTCACGCTTCTGGACTGCAGGCAGGGGAAAGGGCGTGGCTCAGCTGACCTGACACCCCGGCAAACAACCCCATCCTTGAATGTTCCAGGAGCTTAAAGTCAACATTCTCCCTATTCCTGAAAATACAAGAAAACACTGTGCTGTAGGGGCAGTCGGGCCATAATCCTGCCGTAACAGGCCCTCCGTCCAAAGGTCTAGACGCTGACACCAGTTACAGAAGCACTTTGTTCTCCAGGCCAGCGGCCACACTGAATGTGGACCACAGGCACACAAGTTCACTGGCCATGGAAGGAAACTGCATACCCTGTTCTTGTCCAAGGTACTTAAAAATGTTTAGAAGGGAATGGAAGTTAGGAGCATGCCTTGATCCAAATCTTGGCTCTGTTTCTTTCTGGCTGTTTAAGTTAGTGTCTCTGTGCCTCAGTTTCCCCATCTGTGAGATGGGATAATAGCACGTTTGTACCTCAGAATGGTGCTATTACAATCTCCACCCACGGTAGACACTCCAAGACCGTAAATTAGTGTCTAGCATCTTCCTCGGTCTGTCTGCTCTTTGCCTGTCATTTCCCGACAGACTTTCCACTCACATCAAACTATTCTCTAAACACTCACTGTAGTGGGTTGAATAGCATCCCCCCAAATCCATGCCCACCCGGAGCCACGGGATGTGACCTTATTTATTTCATTTTATTTTTTAAATATGGACCACTTCACGAATTTGCGTGTCATCCTTGCGCAGGGGCCATACTAATCTTCTCTGTATCGTTCCAATTTTTAGTATTTGTGCTGCCAAAGTGAGCACGTGACCTTATTTTGGAAAATGCACCTTTGCAGATGTCATTAGCTATGATGCTGTCACAGTGGACGAGGGTGGGCCCTCGTTCCGGGGACTGCTGTCCTCGTAAGGAGACACAGGGAAGAAGGACGGAGGCAGAGATGGGGCTGAGGCTGCAACAGCTGAGGAGCTCGAAGGGACTGCGTTGGCCGGCAGAGTGGGGACTCTCCCCAGAGCCGCTGGAGGGAGCTCGGCCCTGCTGGCATCTCGCTGTCTGGCTTCCAGGCTCCAGAACCGTGAGAGGATGAAGTTCTGTTGTTGAAGCCCGTGTCTGGGGGCTCCATGAAGGTGGCTCAGCTCTCTCCCTGCTTGACCTGCCCGTCAGCCCCTCGCAGAGCTGTGGGCACCCCCGGCTCAGATAGCACCTTCACCTGGCCTTCCTGAGTCCCTGCGCCCAGGAAGGACCTCCCTGTGAATCCCAGCAGCACCTCCAGCCTCCCACACCCACCTGGCACACACCTCGGATGTGTGACTTTAAATGTACCTGGTTCCATCTGTTCATGTGCTGAAAGCCCTGCAGAGAGAAACCCCCTGGCACGGGGAAGCCTCATTTCCTGGGGATGATTTAACAACTCTGGCTTTATGAGGAAGGGGACTGTGCAGAAGGTCCGGGGGAGAGATGGCTCTGGGCGGTGGACCTCGTGGACCAGCCACAGGTCTGTGCTCCCTCCCGGTTACCACGAAGCCAGGTGGGGTGGAGCAAAAGAGCCTGGCACAGATAGCGGTTCTTTATCAAGCAGGAGGCAACCAAGGACCCAAGGCTTCTCTGGAGGACCAGCAGATCACAGACACAGGTCAGATTCCCTCCCGCAAGTAATTAGAGCTGACCGGCAGGCAATGAAAACTTTCAGCAGAAGAGTGGCACACAGTGGAAGCTGGTGTCCAGGAGGGGCTTGAAGCTTCCTAACTAACCTTGGCAAGGTCTCCTATTAAAGCAAAATCAGTGAAGCCAGAGTGGGCTTACATCATGGCATCTCTACGTGGGATTTACCTGGAGGATCTCAGGTCCCGCCTGGCTCTGTCCTCTTTCCAGTTTTGCTCTAAATGACCCAACACTTTCTTATTCAGGAATATCTGAGAACAGGTAGTTGAGTGCTTATTTAATCACCTGTGTTTATAGAAAAACACGTTCGCCAGGTTTGTGTGCCTCTAAGGTCCTCGTGGAGAATCGTGTGTACTCTTTTGTCCTGCGAGCAACGTTTAAGAGGAAGCTACTGCGGAAGGACAAACCGAACTTGGAAAGGGGCAGAAGGTTGCCAGCACATGATGCTTTGCACGTACGACGCATGAGGAGAGAGGTGACGGATTAGGGGAAGTCAGGTAGAGCTCCTTCTGGGGTGGGCAGCCAACCGCCCAGTCGCCCGATGCCCGTGGAACGCCTCGGTGCTGTTTTCTCATCGCAGCTCTCACAGCGCTCACAGAAGCGGGGACAGCAAGGCCCGGCCGCTTTTCAGATGGCGCTTCCAGAACTCAGCAGGAGAAACGTGGCGGGCAGAGCTAAATGCCCACCCTCGGGCCTGGCCGCCCGGGGCCCCATGCTCACCGCTGTGATTCTGCTCATGGCCGGTTCAAGTGAAAATACTGTTTCTGACACCTCGGGCCCACAGCGCACTGGACGCAAAGCCATGGCTTTGCCGTCAAGGAGCATCCAGGCCTCCGTGTAGCCCCAGAGTCCGGCCGCCCTAAAAGGCCAACCTGCAGAGCAAGGCTGGGACGCACTCCCCGCGCCGTTACCTTCTCTTAACTGGCTCAACTCGGCCCTCAGAGCCACCCTTCGCCCTCCTGCCTCTCCAGCTTCTCTGTCCAGCCGGCCCTGCCTCCAAACACCCCCAAGGGCCGCCCCCTCTACGTGTCCAGCTGGTCCCCTGCCCTGCTGCCATCATCCTGCCTGGACTGCTGCATGAGTATCCCCACTGCCCCGTCCCACTCTGTTTTTACACCACAGCCAGAGCAAGTCTTTTGCAAGGTAAGTCAGACGTGGTGAGAAGCTCCTGTGGTCCCCCCGCATCAGCCGGGACCCATCCCTCTGCGCGGCCTTGGGGGCCGTCCCACCTGCCCCTGCCCCGCCCCCTGCCCTGCCCCCGGCCCTCTGCCTGCTCGGGCCCCACTGCACACAGGTGCCACTGCCGGAGATTCTGCACTTGCTGGTCCCTCTACCTAGAAAGCTCTTCCCTCAATCATCTCCACACACCTGGTTCCTCTGACTCAGAGTTCAGCCCAGAGGTCACATTCTCAAAGGGGCTCTAGTGACCACGCAGCCAGGGCAGCCCCGCCCACTTGGTACCTCTAATAGGGCCCTTGGTTTTATGATCTTCCTGATGTTTCCTTTCTGGTTGGTTTGCTTTCTTGCTCCTTGTCTGCCTCCCACTACAAGGGGGGCCCCCGAGAGCAGCGGCCTTCTCTGTCCCCCATGGTCCAGGGCCCGGCACACAGTAGGTGCTTTATAAGCAGCTATTAAATCAATGAATGGACGTGCCCCTGGTTTTGGCCAGCTCTGTGGCCATGGAAACAGGATGGTCCCGAAGTAACTTCTTTCCTCTCCAACTCCCCGACTGCAGACCCAGGGGGCACCACCTGCTCCGCGACCCCCCGCCGCCCCACCTCCCTGCACTGCTCTCTCCTGGAGCCCCTGCAGCGGCCCAGGCCTCTCCCACAGCGTGTGGACTGAGCCACACACTCCCTGGTGTCATCACATTTCCTTTCCATGTGTACTTATTAATTTTCAGCCCTTAGTGACTCTTAAGCACATCTGTATGTTCACTCAAGTAAATGAATCAATTAGATAAAAACACCATCTTGGCACAAAGCTTTCCTTCCTGGGTGAGGTGATGTTTCTAAAATGTAGTGTGTACAAAGCTGGGAGGCTCCAACCAACCGGCGAGCTTTGGAGATTGAACCAGGAGGGGAGGCCTGAAAGGCCACTGCTGGGCAGCAGGGCTGCTTTGCGGGGACTAGAAACAGGCGCCTCCCGCAGGGGGTCCCGCGATTAACAAAACCTACCCCAAATCAGTTGGCTCCCCGTCCGTATTCAGTTTCCCCCCATTGCCTCAAAAATGTCATCGAAAAGTTTATTTGCTCATTTAGGATCAAGACAAGACCCGCCCGCTGCATTCGCTGGATATTTCTGGTCTGTCTTTGAAATTCTATAATAGTTTCCGCCCAGAAGGGCTTGAAGGCTTCAAAAGGTTTGGTGCCCGGCACACGGACACCCTTCCGCCCTCCTTTCTGTCCGAGCTCCAGGAAGCCAAATCCTCCTTCCCAGCAGACAGACTGCGGAGGGAAAGGGAAAAGGAGGCTGGGCGCGGTCACGAGCTCAGAAGGTTTTCAGGCTCCCGACAGGGCTGTGACCCGACACAGCCCAACCTGTGCGGGGAGGGGTGTCAGCGAGACCCACGGTGCCTTGACGGTGTGTCGTGACTTTGAGCTTGAAGCTCGTGATAACATCTGCAATTCTCCGTAGAAGGAGGGCAGGTCAGGGCTCACACAGGGTGTGGTTTCCTGACGCAGGGAAGTGGCTCCTGAGGGGGGCTGATGGGCTCCTGTCGTGAAATCCTCTCCAGGGGGCCTGCCTGCCAGTTTACGGACCAGACGGTGGAGCTCTGAACGCGTCCTGCAGAGCAGCGAGCGGTGGCGGCCACGCTGTGCTCAGCACCGCCCTCCGGGTGAGGACAGGACAGATTTGGGATTTATTATTAAGGGAGCACGATGCCGTGACATATGTTATCCTAATAAATTATGTAACTTAATGATTTTACAACATAGGCTATAATAAACCTTAAATGTATACGCAATCCAGCTTCCAAAAGACCTAAAGGCATCGCTCAAACACGATGCATTCAATCTTCTGTTGTCATTATGAGGAAACAAGGAGCAAAGTACCCTGACCTCCAGAGGATAATCGGCAGTGCTGCAGCCAAGTCGGGGGGGATCTGGGACCAGCCCGTGGCTTTACAGTTGGGTGTCCACCCCCAGATCCCCTCACCCCCAGGCCAGGCTGTGGGCTGGTACCTGTGGTTTCCAGGTTGGGGTAGGAACTCTTGTCCTCATTCTCGTTGGGCTGGAGGTCGTCCATGTTGATCTAGGCATCCAAGGAGAGAAGGAGGGTCCAGTTAGACAAGGTCCACAGCTTTTAGAGGCTTCGGGTAGCCTTGAAATTGCCCCCTAGTCTAGGCTGAGCTGTCGACTCAGAAACACATCCTTTTTCCTTTGCGCACATCCCTCAGGACACCAGCAGAAGGCTGGCCTTCCTTCTCTCTGAGCCCAGCTCTGCTGTCCACCCTCCCCAGCCCCTTCTTCCCCCACTTCCCCTGGTGTCTGGCCCAGGAGGACCGTGTCCTCCTTCCCTGGGCCTCGGCCCCTCACCTTGGTGGCAGGGGGGGACTCTCCATCCGCAGTGATGGATTTCAGCTCGATTTTCTCCTCCTTGGTCTCCTCCACGGCCGGCTTCTCCACCACCTCTTGTCTCTTCTCTGGGCTGGCAGTCCTGGCCGGTCAGCAGGAGGGAAAAGAAAGGGATGTGACCAGATTGATAGGGAGCTGCCCTGTGGTCTGTTGGGGCCCATGCCATGCGGCTCAATCACAGGGGCGCTGGGCCTTGCCCAACTCTGTGCCCGCCCAGCTCTGTCCCATCCTGGCTCTGTCCCATCCCAGCTCTGTCCCATCCCAGCTCTGTCCCCGCCCGGCTCTGTCCCATCCTGGCTCTGTCCTTGCCCAGCTCTGTCCCATCCCGACTCTGTCCCCACCCGGCTCTGTCCGGCATTCAGTTGAAGAGTCCAGCTTCTCAGAGGCTCAGTCCCCGTCTAACCCAGAGAAAGGTTCCTGGAGAACCCTGCTCAGTACTCAGCAGAGGTGTGGCCCGTGACAGTCCACGTAGACAAGGACGAAGACAGAGTGGGGCCCTGGCTTGTCTTCTCATGGCTCTTCAGCTGGAGCTGGACCTCTCCCATGAGCGGCTGCCGCCCCCTGCCCTCCCCTCTACCTCCACCACCTCTCATGACCTCCCTTCTCAATAGAGAACCCGCCACTTTCCTGGACAGGTGGGGCAACACACCTTCCCAGGGATGTAATTCACAGTGGTCCCCGCTTAGAGAAATGCCCAGGAATTAGGGGAGAGGCTCAACGCACACAGAGAGCCTCCAACCAGCCCCCTTCCAGGAGGGACGGCCAGGCAGGGGGGAGCATCTCCTGAGCGCCGAGGGGAGCGGCACCCCAGGCTGGGCCGCGGAAGCTGGTGGTTACCTGGCCAGCTTCTTCCTCTCCTTCTCTTCTTCCTCCTCCTTCTGGGCAGAGGTGAGGCTCTCTGCGTCAGCCAGGTTGTCCACGGCAATGGCCAAGAACACATTCAGTAGGATATCTGTTTGTGCCCATTCTTAAAGAAAATGACCCTTGGACTTGGGGTTGTGGATGGGCAGGGGTCGGGAGGGGGCAGGACACGCGGGGGCAGAGCTCTCCCCGGGGAGGGGCTCTGAGCCCCGTCACCCCACTAGCTTCCCAGGGTTTTCTGAGGGGTCGAGAGCAGGCCCGCTGGCAGGCTGGGCCGGGGGCGGGGTGGCCGGCAGCCGGGCCTCGCTCTTTAACTGCCGGTTTCGAGATGACCGCCCGTGACTGACACCGTAGGCGGCGCTGCAGCGGGACGGGGTGCAGAGTGGCCATTACCGCTGCCAGGAGGTGTCCGCTCGCCCTTCCCCTCCCGCTGTGACCCTGTTCAGACAGAGGCCCTGGGAGGGTCCACCGAGCTCCTAACTGGAGCGGAGTTTGCCCTTTCTTCTTCCCCCACCCCAGACTCGGATGCAGGCACTGTGGGTCAGAGAACCGGATCAGAGCCCGTCCAGCCGAGAGGTTAACGCTGGTCAGGTCCACCTTCCACCCCAGGCCCCGGGAGGCTCCGGCTCACACGGGGAGCGAGGGCCACGGCCCCGCAAGGACAGGAGCTGGGCGTGCGTCATCTTGTTCAGCCTCACCCGGCCCACCGGCTCACACGGGGAGCGAGGGCCACGGCCCCGCAAGGACAGGAGCTGGGCGTGCGTCATCTTGTTCAGCCTCACCCGGCCCATTAGGTCGGAGGCACTGCTATTTCCACCCCGTTCCCAGGACGCTAGGTGGGCAGCCCTGGGTGTGCCCGAGGCCGCCCGCTGCCCTCTGTGTCCAGATCTTCTGTGATTTACTTTCCGAGCCCCTGTGCACACAACCTGCAGGGACAGCACGGGAAGAGGGGTGCCAGCAGCCCGGGACCCAGGAACCTGCCGGTGGCCTGTCCACTCTGCCTGCGGCTAACATTCCGCAGAGTGGCTTCAGAGGGAGGGACCCTGGCCCGAGAGCAGGGCGACAGGTGAATGCCACTTCCGGGGCGGAGGCTCTGTCCTCCCCGGGCAGGGGCCCTGGGCTGGGGCAGCCAGTGTGCACATCGGGGTCCGAGTGAGTGGTTGCAAGCACAACACTGGGGGGGGACGGTGGTGGCTGCTCGCCGGGACCGCGGCGAGGATGCGCTCCTGGAATTGGAGGCTGGGGGACAACTGGCGTCCCCCCCCCCCCCGCCCCCCCGGCCCCAGGCTCCGGGCTCCCACCCAGACACCTGCACCGCTGAGGTGGTCTGGGCTGGACATATTCTCCCAAGCCTGCCCTTCCCTGCTTCCCCTGGGGGGAGGGCCCTGGGTCCCCCCCAAGTCAGGACCTGCGGGGCACACCTATTGGCATCGAGCTGTAGGCTGAGCGCTGGGGCGGCGGCGGGGGCGGGGTGGGGGGAGGGGCAGCGGGCGGGGTGGGGGGAGGGGCAGGGTGGGGAGGGGCAGGGGCGGGGCGGGGGGAGGGGCAGGAGCAAAGGATACAATTTCCACAGATGAAGAGGATGATGAAGTAAATACAGACTAACATCCCTGGAAAAGAGGGGCCGCCATAAGCCATGATCCCATCATACATCACCGAATTCCAGTCCTCCCCGGTCAGGATCTGAATGACACAGTCCCACCAATAAGGGACACAGCGTTAGACCAGCAGCAAACCCGAAGCTCCCCTGCCCAGCCCCTGCGAGGCACAAGCGTCTCACATCTGTCTCTTCCTCCCCCTCCTGCCCCCGTTCTCCTCCCGGGGCTCTGAGCTGTGACCCCCGCAAGTCCAGCCCTCTCCTTAGACAGAGTGCGCGGCCACCGGCACAAATCGTCTGATTCACTGAGAGAGCTTCCTCGGCAAAATACCTCCTACCCCCGGGACGGTGCTCGGTGGCTGACCCTCGGGTTAAGTCGTCAAGGGGAGTGTGTTCACTAAGGGGCCACAGGTCCCCCGCTTCTCTCCAAACGTGAGGACTCTGGGTACCATCTTTAAGATTTTGGCAACATCCACATATTACCCAGTTCAATCTGTAAATCGATCTACTTTTAAACTTAAGTGCTACTTTAGCTTGGCCCTAAGCCCACACGTCCGTGAAGTCTCAAATTCGATGGTAGTCGTAATTTCCTGGGGGCAAGCGTGAAGGGTAGGAGAGAGTCCCGTCCCCCTCCCTTCCCCAGCAAGGGCCGTCCAGTTTCCTTTGTTGATATTTTGGGCTTCCACGTAGAATGTATTTGCATAAAGGTCTCCACGGCTAAGAAACAGTTTTTAAGCCGCTTAATTGGACCTTGTTTTTCCCCCAGTGGTCCATCCAACAGTGCAATTTCCTGGGGGTCGGGGTAGGAGAGCTACAGACTGTCCTGGGCTCCTGTGGCCGACCTGCTCTGGCTGCCCCGTGGGAGTGGGCGGGAAGCTCCTTCCTCCCCCGCCCCCGGGCCCCTGGACCTCCCCGCAGAGCACAGTCCCAGCAGAGAAGGGTCCATACCTGAAACACGGTGAGGAGGGACTGGGGGAAGTTATCGAACGTGCTCCTCCGGGTCTGCATCTCATCGAAGTTGAACTTCCCCCCGAAGAGCTGCATGCCCAGGAGGGAGAAGATGATGATGAAGAGAAACAGCAGCAGAAGCAGGGAGGCGATGGAGCGCACGGAGTTCAGCAGGGACGCCACCAGGTTGCTCAGCGAGTTCCAGTACCTGGGGATGCGGGGCGGCGTGAGCCTCCATCACCTCTTGCCCCACTGCCCCACCCACCAGGGGCTCTGGGACCGGCTGCAACGACCTCCTCCTGGCGCTGTCCCTGGGGCAGCGTGGTGGTGGGACCCGGCTGGCCAGCTCACAACTAGAGTGTGAGTAAGTTAATTCAGGGGCCCTGGGTCGGGAGTCTGGTTCCGACCGAGCTCTGCACGTGTCTTTGGGCGAGTTGCTTAACCTCCCTTCTTTCTGCGCCCCACCGTCTGAAAAAATAGGGGCAGCGGTAGCACACGCTTCATTATGTTATCGGGAGGATTACATGCGATAACAGGTTATAAAAAGCCACTCCCCCCAATGGCAACCAAATAGAAAATAAACAAGTGGGACTACATCAAACTAAAAAGCTTCTGCACAGCAAAGGAGACCATCAACAAAGTGACAAGATGACCTACAAAATGGGAAAAAAACACTTGCAAACCATATATCTGATAAGAGATTAAAATCCAAAATATATAAAGAATTCATGCAACTCAATAGCGAAACAAACAAACAAACAAACAACACCCCAAATAATCCTATTAAAAAAACAGACAGGGACTTCCCTGGTGGCACAGTGGTTAAGACTCCACGCTCCCAATGCAGGGGGCCCGGGTTCGAGCCCTGGTCAGGGAACTAGGTCCCACATGCATGCCACAACTAAGAGTTCCCATGCCGTATCTAAGACCCAGCACAACCAAATAAAAAAAAAATACTTAAAAAAACCAAACCCGAATAGACATTTCTCCAAAGAAGACATACAAACGGCCAACAGACACGTGAAAAGATGCTCAACATAGCTAATCATTAGGGAAATGCTAATTAAAACCAAGAGATATCACCTCACACCTGTTAGAATGTCCATCATCAGAAAGACAATAGATAACAAGTGTTGGTGAGAATGTGGAGAAAAGGGAACCCTTGTGCGTTGCTGGTGGGAATGTAAGTTGGTGCAGCCGCTGTGGAAAACAGAATGAAGCTTCCTCAAGATAATTAAAAATAGAGCTACCATACCCTCCAGCAATTCTACTTCTGGGAACATATCCAAAGGATACGTTCACTATAGCATTATTCATAATGACCAAGACACGGAAACAACCTAAGTGTCCATGAACGGAGAAACGGAGAAAGAAAAATGTGGTGTACGTTATCTACAATGGGATATTATTTAGCCATAAAGAAGAAGAAAATCTTGCCATTTGCAACAGCATGGATGGACTTGGAGGGCATTATGCTTAGTGAAATAAGTCAGACAGAGAAACACACATACCACATGACCTCCCTGATATGTGGAATCTAAAAAAATCCAAAAACAGACACAAACAAACAAAACCCCCCACCAAACTCACAGAAAAGGAGATCAGATTTGTGGTTACTAGAGGCGGGGGATGGTGGTGGGGGGGAACAGGAGGGAGGGCATCAAAGGTACAAACTTCCAGTTATAGATAAATATGAGGAATGTAGCGCACAGCACGACTGTAGCCACCACTGCTGTGTGACAGCAAGTGCTAAGCATTCTCATCACAAGGATAATGTTTTTCTTTTTTCACACCGTCTCTACGAGATGACACATGGTAACTCCATCTACTGTGACAATCATTCCACAGTGTATAGAAGACACACCATCATGCTGTGCACCTTAAATGCAGACACTGATGTACGTCAATTATTTCTCAGTAAAACTAGGAAAAATATAATTCCAGCTCTTCATTTAAAAAAAAGACCCCCGTATTGTGCCCGGCACACAGGTGATAAAGGTTAGTAATTATTGTTATCACTACTGATCTTTAGACAAAAAAACACATTAAAAAAATTTTTTTTTCTAGAATGTGGGCCTCAGCCCAGCCCAGTCATGAATGGGGTCACCCACGGGTGAGGGTGGCCTGGGTCACCCGTGGGTAAGAGGGGGTGTGTGGTTTACTGAGGCTTCCCAAATTCAGCCGGTCCAAAGAGCTGGTTTGTTTCAAAAGCCTGTCTTCTGGAGATTCTGATTCAATGGCTGTCGTCTGGGGCCCAGAAATCTGTTTTGAACAAGGGTCGTAGAGGATTCCGATACGCAGGCCAGCTCGGGAGATCCCGGATTGCAGCAAACACACCCAGTCCACAGCGACAGCCTGCGGCTGGAGGGGCCCTGCATCTCTCCGCTGTGAGCGCGGACGCCCTGCACTGTGGGGACGGGTGGGGAAAAGCCCTCTCTTGGGGAAGTGGGGGAACACGAATGGCCCTGGAAGGGGCTTGGGTACCCGGGACAGGGTCTGTTCAGGGTGAGGAACGCACTGCAGCGAAAGGGACACGTGCCCAGCTGGCCAAGCGCGTCTCACTTCCCTGCAGCGCTAACCGACCCAGCTGCCTTCCAGGTCACAACCTTGATCTCCTCCACTCAGATGTTCCCGGCTCTTCACCAAGGCAGACAGGGAATCGCTTCTGCTGCTCGAGACAATGCCTTGCAAACCACGCCCCACTGCAGCTTGGCGGCTGCACCCCAACCCGGGCACCTCTCTCCGGGGAACGGCTCCATAAGTGACAGAAGCAGATGGGCCAACAGTTTGGGTGTAAACATGAGCGTCTCCCCAACCTGGAGTCTCTCGTGCTCCAGACTCAGCCCTGCTCCGCCTCTGCCCTGCCTGCCAGCCACTCGCCCTCTGTTCGCGGAATGTTAATATACATTGATTTGTATCTGCTCTAGAAAGGCTTTTACCTGTTCCACGTTTGTGACAGCCTTGTCTCACCCAAACAGGCTTGAGCTCTTGAGGGCAGAGGCCAGAGGTTCTCCTTCCATCCCCTGCATCTCTGTCCTCAAATAGATTCTGTGCAACCTGGTGTGTATGATGGGCTGCCTGGCCTCGGTCGGCTAGAGATTGTACTAATCGTTCTGTTGAAGCAAGGAGTTAGAGAACCTCTGTGGGGGCTAGGACGCCCTCCCCTCTTACACTGAAAGCTCCCAAACCTGTCTGGAGATGACATGCCGGGGGTGGGGGGTGGGAAAGCATTTTCTAAATGCCGATTCCCAGGCCTCGCTCAGAACCATGAATCACTGCTGTGCGAGCACCCAGCCCCTGTCGGCAAGCCGGTATTTAGGAACCGAAACTCCGGAGCGTATCTGTAACGGGAACGTCCCGCTGTACTGGGGCGGGGGGTGGACGGTGTCTGCCTGGGGGTTAAGGTCACACAGCCCCTAAAGTGCACAGAATATTCTGGGAAAGTCTTCATGGCCATAAAAGTTGGTGCCTTAGTTTTCCCGAGGCCCGTGGACGTGAGGGAAATAGACCAGCCCAGTGCTGAGGTTCAGGCTGTCTGCCGGCCACGGGCCCAGGGGCGCCGGCCAAGGAGGCCCCAGACCCGAGGGAGAAAGTCACCGTGCGGGAGGGGGTCTGCCCGGGGTGGGGTGCGGCCCGCGGGCCTGGACTGAGGGCCTGGACGGAGCACGGCTGTGTCGCCCGTCATGGGGGTGGTGGAGACCCTCTGGGGACGCTGGGCGGAGGAGGTCTACTGAGCCGCCTACAGGGGCCGAGCCTCGGGTCGGAAGGCTTTTCTCCTGCTCCCATGTCCCGAGGGTTGCGCGGCCGTCTCTCAGTCGATGGGGGATTCCCAGCACAAGCCGCTGGCCTGACCGAGCCCCGTGGCCCGCCCCGCCATCACGCCGTCGCGGTGCAGCACAGCCGCCGTCTCTGGCTTGAGCCCAGACCCTTGGGGTCGCCCTCCAGGTGGCCTCACACCCACAGCCGCAACCCCGTCCTCGGAGCCGGGCTACAGCCCCTCCGGCACCTGCCACGCAGGCAGGCGTCTCCCCCGTCCTGCCCCCGCCCCCTGCAGCTGCTCCCCCCCCACCCCCGCCACCCAGCGCCCAGGCGAGGAGCCGCGAACGCACTGCCGCCGGTGCTCTCAGCGACAGTAACAAGTTATAACACACTGAAAAAATCGAGTCCACTGACGTTAAAGAAAGGAGAGGGGTTTGCTTCACAGACGGTGTCAAACGGACAACAGGAATGAATGAATGAATGAATGAATGAATGAACGAACGAATGACAGAATGAGTCAGTGATTCAGATACAGACCGTCACGGGTGGAAGGTCTCTGGAGAGCAGGGTGTTCACAGGCCCTGATATCTCTCCATGGATTACTCCGTAATCACAGAGGGCAAGGGCACAGTAACGGTGAGAAACGCGGCAGACAGCCCTGGCCATGTTCCTACTCTCAGAATCCTCGACAACGGGACAACTCCTGGCGCCCTGTGACCCCCGACCCCTCCTCGGCCGCGCAGAAGGACACTCTCCAAGGGCCCGCCTGAGGCCCCGCAGACCCTGTGGACGGCACCTCCCCTGCTACCCCCTGCGAGGCTGCAGCCCGGCCCCCCACCGTCCCGCCTGCATGCCCCCCACTGGCTGGCCCGGCCCTGGGGTCTGCAGGGCTCACTCCTTCAGTCCCCCGGGGCCTGCGCAACGCCCTCCTGGCAGCCACCCTGTCCCCAGCCTGCATTTTACACACTCATCCCCTCCAGGGGGACGGTCCAGAGAGCAGGGCTTGTGCTGGGAGCACAGCCAAAGGAGGTGCCCTGGGAGTGTTTTGCTGGATGAAGGAACAAATCTTCAATATGACACCTTTGTACTTAATGGAGGGAAGGCAAGGGGACACAGACCCCGTGTGTGTGGAGCAGGGCTGGGGGGTGGGTCTCACACTCACCCGAGTCAAACCCACTTTGCTCAAAGGTGAGGAATGGCTCTTGCCCTCTCCCCAACGTCACTTCTGATCCTGTGGCTTCCCTAGATCCGGGGGTTCCTGAGCTTCCACCACCAGACCACTCGTCACGCTATTATGTGTCAGGAGGACAGACTGGTCCCCAGAGGCATGGGGTGGGGGGAAGTGGGCGAACTGGGTGCAGGGGTCAAAAGCTACAAACTTCCAGTTATAAAACAAATAAGTCCTGGGGATGTGATGCACGGCATGGTGACTACAGTTAACAATACTAT